TTCAATGGCTAAAAATATGCTAATGGTAGGTTATTATTGGTTGACAATGGAATCTGATTGTTGCAAATTTGTAAAGGAGTGCCATAAATGCCTGATTTACGCAGATAAGATCCATGTACCTCTGACACTTCTCAATGAGATTTCCTCCCCGTGGCCTTTCTCTATATGGGGTATTGACATGATCGGGATGATAGAACCCAAAGCTTCGAATGGACACCGTTTCATCTTGGCAGCAATTGACTAATTTACCAAATGGGTAGAGGCTGCTTCATATGCCAATGTTACCAAACAGGTGGTTGTGTGTTTCATCAAAAACAATCTTATATGCCGGTATGGTGTGGCGAGCAGAATCATCACTGACAATGGCTCGAATTTGAACAACAAGATGATGACTGAACTGTGCGAAGAATTCAAGATTGTCCATCACAATTCATCTCCATACATGCCAAAGATGAATGGGGCTGTTGAAGCTGCTAATAAGAATATCAAGAGAATTATCCAGAAAATGGTTGTCACTTATAAGGATTGGCATGAAATGCTCCCTTTTGCTCTGCATGGATATCGAACATCTGTTCGCACTTCAACATGAGCAACCCCATTTTCCCTAGTGTATGGAATGGAAGCTGTACTCCCTATCGAGGTAGAGATTCCCTCGTTGCGTGTGATAATGGAAGCAAAATTGACAGAGGATGAATGGGTTCAGAACAAGTTTGACCAATTGAATTTTATTGAAGAGAAGAGAATGAAAACTTTGTGTCATAGGCAGTTATATCAGAAAAGAATGAAGAAAGCATTTGACAAAAAGGTCAAACCTCGTGAATTTAGAGAAGGCGACCTTGTGCTCAGGAAGATCATGTCTTTCAACACTGATTCTAGGGGAAAGTGGACTCCCAATTTTGAAGGCCCGTATGTTGTCAAGAAAGCCTTCTCTGGTGGTGCATTAATTCTTGAAACTATGGATGGAGAGGAGTTCCCACGTCCCGTGAATGCTGACGCAGTCAAGAAATACTTTGCCTAAAGAAATAAAAGAACAACTCTCTAAGTCGAAAACCCGAAAGGGCGGTTTAGGAAAAAAAGAGCGTCTCGGTAGGCCGAAAACCCGAAAGGGAGGTCTAGGCAAAAATTAGAGACATAAATAGAATAAATTTCCCGCTAAGTTGAAAACCCGCAAGGGCAGCTTAGGCAAAAGTTAGGGATTTTCTTGGCAAGTAACTACGTCAGACGAGACTTGATCGTTGAAGCAACAATCTTCTCGGATCCTCACCATACTTCAACGGAAGCTGCTGCTCAGGATTTCAAAAAGTTGTTAGGGGGGATAGTGGTCATTGTATCTCAATGTATCTTTTCCATTATGTATTACCATTTCCCAAACTTTGTGATCATCCATGGAGTCTCTACATTCGCAGACTACCATTCTATTAATGAAATTCGAGCTTTTTCCTAATTCTTTGTGTTCTTATTTTTATTTAGCTTGCAAAGACTTCATTTATTACCGATAATAACTGTTAAAGCAAAAAGCTTAAAAGAAGCAAAATTAACTTTTCAAAAAAAAAGAGAAGAGATTGTTGCACCCCAAAATTTGCCCTTCTAATTTCTTCTATCTGGCTTAGACTATCGCATTCATCTGTATATATTCCATTAGGTCATTAACATACATTTTCATTCAATAAAGCGCTTGAGGTTCAAAGTTTAGTGGTTACGTGATATTAGGGCTTCGCAGTAGTTAAGGTGTTCATATCCGATAAAGTTTGATTCTTCTGATTATCCTTCAAGCAGTGAAATGTGGAATTAGGGTTGCAACCTATGCTTATTAAGGGTTCCGTTTTCTTCAAGTTAAGGGGGGTTATTACTCATTCATATACGTTCAAGACAAGAGTCAGAATGTTTCTCCACCAAGTTTGTGCTTGTCAGCATTTAATCAATCGAGGTTCATTAGGTTTTCTAAGTCATGGCCATCTTGGTCATATTTATTTATGTATCCCCATGTTCATTTCCAAGTTGTTCTACAAGGTCATCTAAGAGCTACTAAATTAGGCATTCATTATCTCTTTGTGCTCAATGTCCTCCTTTGATTAGGGTTTATTTCCCTACGCTTGGGTTTGTCAGATGAATTTGGCAGGGCTAATAGTCAAAGGTTCTTCGTCAATGACTAGCTAGGGTTTTCTTTCAACCTTTCTTTATAAATCGAAAGTGGGAACTTATTACTTAAGTCACAAGCTATGTGATCGAAAACTTCATTCAGAAGACAAATGTGGATATACTGGTGCCCATTTTACCGTTTGATCTTTGTTTATCATTGATTCAAATAAATTCTTTCATTTAGCTATGATGCTTGAGGATCAAGATGTTACATTGCTTAGGCCATACAAGTTATCTCTTTGGTTCTCACACAAGGCTTTGAGGTGAACGTGGTGTATTGGGTCATAGTTGCATCCAAGGTTTTGACAATATCTTACTTGATTTCCTTTGATTGACTAAGAGTATCCAATCTCATGATGTGTTATATTAAAGGATGCAATTTGAAGCAAAATTTGAAAGGTTAAAAGAAGCTTTTGGAGGGAAAGAAATACTCAAGTCATATTTCATCTCCAAGATACCAAGTATCACAAAACTCATCCGATAAATATTGAAGAATCCAAATGAAATACAACAATATGAAAGCAAGGTTCAAGATTGAAAATTGGATAAAATATTAGATGCTTGAAGATTCATTCAAATTAAAACATAATGGAGGGAAATTCAAACTTTATCATTTTTTAAAAGAAGTCATATTCCCCTATATGAATCAAAGTTATACTCCAAATCCAAATTTCATTCACCGTTCAAGTGACCATAATGCAATATCATTCAAGGTTTTCAAACATCTTTAAGACAAAATTTTAAATAGAAATTCAAGAGCAAAAGGCAAAAATCAACGAGGTTTGAAGATGTGTATTCGAAATTGAAAGAAGAGAAATGAATGAAGAGGATATCATTACATCAAAGGTCATCGTTTACATTATCATTTCAAATACATCACAAATATCAAGAAGATTACATCAAGCCATTTACACCACAAACCTATCCTGTGTCTAATCTATAATGTGTCCCCATGCCCCCAAAACTTTCATAATCTCCAAGCTTCCATCATCATGGCTAACCTTTCAACTTCATGCTCTTCACGTTGCAATTCTCTTCATTCCAAGTTTATGGCCTACACATTCATACAAAAAAATCCAAGTCAATACAAGCAATCGTGCCAAAAGAATAGGTCCACATCATCCAACTTCATATTTCTCATTCTAACTCTCACACTCCATGTCCCATAACAACTACTTGCCCCATTTTCTTTCTTCAATGACACACAACACACTCTCTATAATGAATATAGGGATAATACTAATGGTGTTAGTTTTGAGTTTTGGAATTGGAAGTACACAACAAGTAGCTTGCTATTTTATATTTGGAGACTCTTTGGTTGATAATGGTAACAACAACCAGCTCACTTCAATTGCAAAAGCTAATTATGCACCTTACAGAATTGACTTTCCTGGTGGACCAACTGGAAGATTTTCTAATGGCAAAACTTTTGTTGATGTAATTGCTGAGCAATTGGGATTCAACGGTCACATATCTTCGTATGCATCGGCTAGAGGCCGAGACATACTAAGAGGAGTCAATTATTCTTCGGAAGCTGCTGGAATTAGAGAGGAAACTGGACAACAATTGGGTCAAAGAATTAGTTTTAGAGGTCAAGTGGTAAATTACCAAAGGACAGTGTCTCAGTTAGTAAATAGATTTGGAGATGAGAATACTACTGCAAATTATCTAAGAAAATGAATTTATATAATTGGATTGGGAAGTAATGATTACCTTAACAATAATTTTATGCCTCAAATCTATTCTAGCAGTAGGCAATTCATACCACAACAGTATGCTAATGTTCTTCTTCAAGCATATGCTCAACAACTCAGGATTCTATATAACTATGGAGCAAGGAAAATGGAATTATTTGGAGTTGGTCAAATAGGTTGCAATCCAAGTGAATTGGCTCAAAACAGCCCAGATGATAGAACATGTGTAGCTAGAATCAATTCTACAAATCAGTTATTCAACAATGGATTAAAATCTCTCGTTGATCAATTCAATAACCAATTTCCTGATGCAAGATTCATCTATGTAAATGTTTATAGTATCTTTGGAGACATCATAAACAACCCATCAGCCTATGGTTTCAGAGTAACAAATACTGGATGTTATGGTGTAGGAAGGGACAATTTGACTAGGATAGTTTATGAAGAAAAGCGCAAGCTAAGGCTGGTAAAAGGAAAAAACAAAATTGTAACAGAATTTCTAATTTCCCATAACAGTCCAAACAGAATTGTGACAGAAATTTCAAACTAACTCTTTACTTACCAACGTAACCATAATCAACAGCAACGTCTTTGTGATCTCCATCATCACAGTCTTCGTGATCTTCGTCATCATAACCTTCTTCTGCATCATCTTTACAGCATCTCAACATCAACCATATTTTACATCATCTTCAATCTCCACTACTGATTCAAGTCAGATCTTTAATCAATCATCACTATGCTTCGTTCGTGAATCTCTGAATTTTCGATATCTCATCAATTTTTATGCATAGATAAAAAAAAAGAATGTATCAACACAACAACTCGTGCATTCTCAGTTTCAATGCAACTAACAGTTTTTAGCATTAAACTCATGATAACCAAGCATTATCCAACATAATTGACAACTAACTTTCCTAACTGTCAAACAATTTTTTTTTCTAAACAGCCCTCTAAACTTCTAACAGATTCACTAACCTCCAAACTGTTTTTTTCCTAAGCCAATTTCTATACCAAACTTTCTAACAGAATTCTAACTAACACTAACAAATTTCTAACCAACTTCCTAATCTCTAAAACCAAATAACAAAAAGAATAAAAAACTCTAACAGTAATATAACCAATTCAAATCTAACTCTTCATCTTATAAATAACTCCCCAGATCCTATGATTGAGAATCATCAACCTTTAACAATTTTCATCTTCCCCCAATCCCTATATAACCTCTTCTCCACGATCATTCAAGGATTTTTTCACCACCAATTTTCAGCTTCCAGAACCACTGAATCTACACCATTGATTCTTCACTCTCCCATACCTCACCACACGCTCTCTTCAAAAAGCGGTTAAAGCTTCATATTGAAGCTTCAATCGTTCGTGTTTATACTTCTGCAACTCTCACTCTCTACTGGATCGTCAACATCACATAGCACTCTCACAACTTTCCCTCTGGTTTCCATATTCCTATTGTGATCACGAAATAACACGGAACACGATAAAAATGGAGTAGAAGAAGAAGATGAGTAGACAACACAAGAAACAGAAGAAAAACACGTAAGTAGAAGAATCAAACACGCAAGAAGAATAACTAGAGTTACCTAAAATCTTATGGAGTTCTTATGCTACTGGCTCCGTCGAAGAAGCATCGGAATTTCTCGGCTATGTAAGCTGCGATTTACTTCATTTCTTCATTCTTGTAGCAATTTGTATCACTATAATGTAGCCATCAATTCCTCTAAGGGTTTTACGTGCGTCCTCAGAATTTGGTTCCTTCCCTTTTTTCAATTTTTAGGGTTTATGAGATTGTAGATTTAGGTTGATACGAGTGAAATTTGAGGAAAAAAGCTTAGGATTAGGAATCAGGGCACGATTCTGATTGAGTTTGGTGTTTAACACTTCACGATTTGGGAATTGCTGGTTGTTGTTTGACGGTGGGGGTATGGTGGCGAGCTTTGTTGAATAAGGGCGAATAAGAAAGATGAGAGGGAAGAGACTGTTGTGTGAGCAAAACGCCACCGTTTCCGGCTCTGTAATTTCTTTATTCGTTGATTTTGTTTCTTTTCAATATTAATGATAAAAATCTATTGAGTGGACCGGGCTTGCACCTCATAGGCCCGCTTGTGCCTATTTTTGGACCATTGACATAAAATAAACCTTCTGTTGGATTCTACATTAGTGGGCCTAGTACCTTGATGAATAAAAGGAGCATTGGATTCTTTTGGTTTGGGTTAGTATAAGATTACTTCAGCACCCCCTGACTGTAATATAATACCCCCTGAGTTTATTATTTCAATATTTTCCTTTTAAATAATTTTGTGAATTGTTTAGATTTGTTGAATTTTTTTCTTTTCTTCTTTCTCCCACATGATAAGAATAATAAAGTCAAATACAAAAATTTGTTAGTTTTTATGTGATTTTAGGAAGTAAATCCCGATTACCCAATTATACTTGAAATTCATGATTCACTTTTGCTTGTTGAGATTTAAATCTTATGCAGGTTCATTAGGCGGTATGCAGATACGCTTGAAATTTTGAGTGTGACATATTTTCACATCGATGATGCTTCAACACTTATTCCGAGTATTGGATTTCTAACTCTCTTCTTTGTTGATGCTAACAGCTCACGAGATCGTCGAGTATCTTTGCTTTTTTCTGCTTTGCTCTACGGGCTAGTACTCGTTTGGTATATTTTCTTTCTATTTTTACCCTGCATTTATCTATTCCCGTAGATTGTGTGAAGTATAATAAAATTAGGTTTAGAAATAGGCTAGTATCACCTGAACTTTTATTTTTCTTTTTGCATATACATTAACACAAAAAAAATATTTATTTTTCTTACAAACCTCAAAATACTTAAAAATTTACTGACAAGAATCATGTCTTTGCTAAGTTTGGGAGATGATAAGCGGGTTTCTTCTCGATCTTATTATTCTCTTATTCTAAGCCTTGGCATGGTAGAAGTCTCAAAGAATCATTTCATGAATAAGTAGAGACATGGCTAAAATCTCTCTCTTGAGATCAACTAGCTATTATCTACAAGCAAAAACACCAAACAATACAAACTCTTTTTGCCTTCGGGCCTTTCTTTCAAAACATTTTCAGGTAGAGCATGTTAATTCACTTATGTGCTGACGCGTAAGTCTCCAAAGGTTGAGTTGCGGCAGAAGGCGAAATTATTATCATTCATTACAAACACAATCCAATTCAAACTTTTCGTGCGCCCAGGCACATTTTCTCCAAACCTTTTCAGAAAGAATATGTTAATTCACTTTTGTGCTGACGCGTAAGTCTCCAAAGGTCGAGTTGTGGCAGAAGGCGAAATTAATATTGTTCAGTAAAAAATACAAACCAACAAAAAACATAAGTCAAACTATGGCTGCTCTGATTCCTTAAAAGGGATACGTAGGCATCGGGGTAGGGCCCGAACGAGCACAATTTTATTTTCCCTACATTCTTTTCTCTTTTATTTTGCACGCATTCCCTATACAGCTTAAATATAGATTGAACACACCCATAAGATAGACAACAAGAGTGGATACCGTAGAGTACTACGGGCGTGTGGGGTGCTAATACCTTCCCCTCGTGTATCGGACTCCCTTACCCTTATCTCTCGGTCGCAAGACCGTGACTTCTCCCTTCTCAGGTTTTCTCGATGTTTACCTTTCCCTTCCTGTGGGATAAAAAACGTTCGATGGAGACTTCATTGTTTGATGATTTTCATCCGGTTGTTTCAGCTGACGACTTCACTGGGGAACGTTGACCAAATGCTGGTCCATCCCGGAGTCGCTCCTAGCTCTTGTTTTCTTTTCTTTGGGTGTTTATTTTTATGCTTTCAGTTTATTCGTTCATCTTAAATATATTTGTGCATATGCATGTGTTGCACTTTCCTGTCTTCCATATACTGCTGTTGTACTAGATCTGCTTCTTGTTTGGGTGGGGATGTTACTATTGAGGTAAAAGGCCCAGTACCCAGACCAAAGTGCACTAGGACACCTAGGAATAGAGTGGGGGCATGACGGATATAGGACGTGGTCCAATTAGTGCAGTCATGTCATTAACCATGCTCAGATGAGGTTAAATTAGAGGTACTTTCATCATGCACGTCTGTGTTGCGATGACTTTACTTTCAGGCGGACCCGTGATTTTCGAGTTACCATTATCTCACCCTAACCTAGTCTTCACACGTGAGTGGGGAGGGAACTATTATTACAGGTATAGTTGGTGACTATATTCAAACAGTTACTTTTGGTTATGCCCTGGATTTCTGCCTACAATTATGAGGTTCTCAGATTTATTTTTTGAGGACCCATCTATGATCTTCATGGATTTCTTCCGGTCACGTTTTACACCTGTAACCTCGATATTAACAAGAATATGAAGAAGCAGTACAACAGAATTCAGTATCATGGAAGTAGTAACCCCATGATCACTTGCACACATATCATAGCATATTTACTTTTCAAAAAAAAAATGATAATTAATTCGCATGCGCATTGTCATTTCCAGGATCTCTCCAGGGTTTCCTTTTCCTCCAAAGAATGGAAAACAACATTGATATCACCCTAAAGACAAAGAGGGATAACTTCAGCTATCAGTTCCGTCCTAGCATTTGGCCCTCTCTTGAAGAGCTCAAAGACCTCATGAATTGTCAACAAATGGGCGTTTTTGGTGAAAGATATGGGAATCTCCTATCTTTATTGGATGCTCGGGTTGACGACAAGGTTGTACAAACTTTGTTACAATTTTATGATCCAGAGTTGCGTTGCTTCACATTTCAAGACTACCAGTTAGCACCTACTCTAGAGGAGTATGCTCATCTTCTCCACATTAAGCTCACCAGTCATGTTCCATTTATTCGAGTCCCTATTGAGCCTAACTTTGAGGCAATTGCTAAGGTTCTTTATTTGAGCCCTAACGATGTAAAAGGGAAATGGAGACGCAAAAAAGTCACTTGTGGTCTTCCTGCAGACTTCTTGGCAACTAAGGCTAAGGAAATGGCGAACGTGGGAAATTGGATGCTTATTATGCTTTGTTGGCTGCCATTATTTACGGAGTTGTCCTATTCCCTTAGATTAAAGAAATCGTGGACTTGGCTTCTCTTTTCTTCATGAATAAGAATCATATACCCACGCTATTAGCAGATACTTACCACGCCATCCACTCCAGGCATGGGAAAAAAAGGGGTAGTGGTATGTTGTACACCTATGCTTTACAAATGGTTCATGGCACAATTACCCACCAAAGGGCCATTCAAAGAAGATCCCCGCTCGTGGGCATCCAAAGTGATGACACTCACCTCTTTCGACATCCAATGGTACAAACTTAAGGTGGATAGCTCCGAAGTCATCTCTCACTGTGCAAGTTTCTCTAATGTTCCACTCATGGGAACAAAAGGGGTTATCAACTACAATCCAGTACTCTCTCTTCACCAATTAGGTTATGCCATGAGGCATCCACCCACGACCAAGGAGGTCGAACCTATGTGTGATACGGTGGGAAGAATTGACTGTTTTTGGAATGCTGGTTTGCGTTTTGCGTTTGTGTTTGCAAAATGTCGCGGTAAGCAAGAGTCGCCACCGACTTTTATTTTATCCATCAAGGAAAGGAAAAAAGCACAGAAAAATTCCTTTTTCGAGATATTTCTCGGGTTCGGGGGGTAGATTATAGAAAGGGAAGGTATTAGCACCCTTTCTATCCGTAGTTATCTACGGGCTCTTAGGTACTTGCTCAATTGTTTTCAAAATTGTTTTCTTTGTGCTTGTGGGTTTTGAAAAGTTTTTTTGTTTGTTTGAAACTGCGATTTAACTCTTGCTTATGTCCTCAAGAGTGTAATTAAGTGTTTTGAAAACTTTGTTCGAAAAGGAGTGTAAGTGCGAAAAATTTGTTTTGTTTTGATTGAGCAAGTATCTAAGAACTATCTACCTACTCAAAAAAGGAATCGTTCTATGTTACTTTCCTTTAGACAATGCTATCCCACTATTAGTGAGTAGCTAGCACCGTCGTTGGAGTTTAAGGGTCAATTCGAATGAGGGACATACGGTCACTAAAGCAACGTTAAGACGCCTTAGCGGTAACCCTAAAGTCTTAGATCATTTGTTTGAGGCAACAATATCCGAGGCAACTGTTTCGAGGAGAATATGATCTTTTAGACAAGAGGGCGACCTCTAAAGTGACCTATACTCAATGACCGTGTACGAAGGCAACCAAGTGGGGTGTATCCTATGAATGCGCATGTGCGAGTGTGTTGATTTCAGATATTTTTATCTTTGCACATGTTAAGGGTGATCTAATTTGATTTTAAGATTAGGCATTCAGTCTTGTCATGCAAACCCTATTATCAAACATCTAGC